TTTGCTTGTTTGGTCTGCCGTTGTTTGGTTTCAGTTCCTTCAGTTCCGCACTTCGCGCGGGGCGCGGACCAAGAGGCGGGTTGCCAGGCTGAGGAGGAGGAGGAGGAGTAGGTGAAGGTGAAGGTAGATTGGTGAATCGGTTGCTTGGTTGCCTGGTTGCCTGCCTGGCTGCCTGCCTGCCTCGCTGCCTGCCCGTACCACTAATTGCAATCGTGGGAAAAACCAATCAGACATGCAACACTCGCCGCATTTCTTTTTATTATTATTTTTATTACGGCTCAATATTAGCGTAATCCACATTTTGACGGTTTCATAAAACTGTAGCTGTAAAGAACTTGGCTTGCATTTACAATCCGCCCATAAAGTTGGCCTGCAAGTGCTGCCTGCCACTACCTGTCCACCATCGGTAGTCCTCTCGGTGCCTCGTTGGTCCCTCCCCCCAAACAATACACTAACCGATCTGACGATCCGATCGACACTTGCATTTTAATTAATGTTATCAACATTTCGATTCGTTTCGATCAGTTGCGATCCGTTTACATCGAACTCCCTCTCTCAGTGCTTGTGTGCGGTCCCAAGTCGGAGTCGGAGTTGGACGTGGACGTGGACGTGGGCGAGTGGGAGACTTGTATACCAAACAATTGAAAGACATCCATTTATCATATGTCTCATCCGCCCACCCCTCTTCTATATGCTTGCCTGTTGAAATGCTCAGTTGCGGAAAGGGTCTGCAGGACCTTGGTACGGCCTGCCGCCAAACGGAAGGATCATCTAATGATCGCCTAACCGAATTCTTTGGAATTTGTCTTGGCCAGAAAGCAGATCAAGTGATTATAACTGATTGTTGCAGCAGTTGATGAAATTCAAGATCAAACTATTGCAACAAATCTTTAAGCATTAAAAACCTTTCCAAAATTAAATACGTCAAATTTAATAAGTAATCCAAATCAATAAATATAGAAAAATGCTCAATTAAAGTACATTATTAGATTGGACAGGCTTCAAGAACATTAAAGATTGTATGGGATAGTAATAAAGCAATTTCGTTATTAATTATATTAATCTATATATGAAATCAAGATGAAGTAAAGAGTAAACGAAATTTATTTTGATTGGTCTCAGACAAGATTGACAAGGTCTCAAACACGCCAAAATATAGGAGATAATCGATATAAGTAAGTAATTAATTTATGTAGAGAAAGGCACTTGAAAAACTCATCTTGCTCCAGACAGTAGATCATAGACTAAAATAGATCTAATAGATCCCATCGCAGCTACCCCAATTATAATAATAAACTAGGCAGAATCTGAGTAGGAATCCTCAAAACCAATACTTGATTGAATCATCACAAGATTTGCATATTTTATAGATATATTTGTATCTACTAATTAATCAAAATGATCAATAACAAAGAGATTTGCGTGTAGAAATAAACTTGAGCTGATTTATTCAGCCCGGCACAATCAGCTTAGTATATTTAATAATATATAATCTGTAGACAGACATCAGCCAGAATTACTTTAATTATCACATCAATTGTTTATTGTTTTTATTGCTTGACAGCGTTGCGTTAGTTAAATTAACTAAATTTTTACATAGCATACCTTTGGGGCTAATAAAAAGAGCTTATGGAAAAAGACAAAAAAATACCTTAAAAAAAGAAAGACAAGTGGAAAGATTCCCGATTCCCGATTCCCGATTGAATGTGAATTGAGGCAGTTGCACGTAGTGTGTCCCTTGTCAAGGGTAAGGTGAAAACCCGACGACAGTCGTATATGATGGATGGTTCCATATCCGGTATGCGGTACGGGAAAATGTAAAGAATCCGAGACAAGTGAGTACGTGGGTAAATCGATGAATGCATCGATTGAATGAATGAATGAATATTTAAATATACTCATACATGGCTAAATGGGCAGACAGGCGTTGACTACTGACTACTGAATATATCAGTGAACAGGTGTCCATAATTTTTGTTCAAGTTTCAAAGTAAAATCCAAGTGTGCCCCATTAGGTACACCTGCCATGTTCCATGCCCCGCCAAACGCGTGTGGCATATACAAAACACAACTCAAAACACTCAACACAAATGCAACGAACATTGAATACCCTTTGATTAATATCAATCAAATTATGAGAACTGCTAACAAACTAAATTAACTTTCAGTTTAATTGTTGTTAGTTAATATGCCAAGCATTCTTAAAGTGTACTCATATTTTGATTTATAGTAATCAGATCCGTTCAACACTGGTATATTGATTTCGATTCGAATAGTTTAGAAACTTAACTTTGGCTATTGATGTTGGTCAAGGAAAAACATTTACTTTGTGGCATCTCTGATTGCGTCACATAATGCATGACAATGGTGATATGCCCAGCTGTGAAGTGTACAACAAAAATATGATAAAATCAAAATTTGTCTAAGGTTTTTCTGATTTGTTTTTTTTATTTTGGAATTTGTATAGGCTGTGGAATCGTATCGTATGCGATCGCAAACAGTAGCCAATAGACGCAGCTGTCCATAAATCGCTCAGCGAGAGACAGAGACAGACAGAGAGAGAGAGAGAGAGGGAGAATGAGTGTGTGTGTGTGTGTGTGAGAGAGAGAGAGAGAGAGGGAGAATAGTGTCAAAGGCAACGCACCCGAAATACTAATTAGTGGCATGCAGCATAAATCGAAGCGAGTCGAGTGCGCCTCCAATGCAATAACGATTGCCATAAATCAGAGACTGGGTTCCGCTCAAAGGCGTTATATCGCATCCATATCGGCTCATGACCAACGACAACAACAACAACAACAACAACTGCGACAACAACTGCGACAACAACTGCGACAACAACTGCGACATCGATTGCCAAAGAAGTGCCAAAGATTAGCGATAAGCATCTGACATTTGATGCGTTCCCTTCTTGAATACAAAATCGTTGGGCTCCTCGTCCCGCCGCCAACAACTGACACTCAGTTGTCGCATCGCTTTAGTTGGATATTAGATATTGGATATCGGATATTGTATATTGTATATTGGATATGACAGTCGAAAACACACATTCAATGATAACTCGCTTTCTTCAGCGTACAAATTCAGACTGTGGCCCCCTTTGAAGGGACAGCCACATTCAAAATCAAGCAGAACTCCAAGAACTACATATATTACTTTGATCTGGGCTTATCCACTAGTCTGGATACTATATATTTAAAACTGATTCAGAACTCTATTGATTTATTTTGATCTGATTTTATCTTTTATTTCGAATATTGAATATAATTTAAACTCATTCAAAAAGAGTCATTCAGAACTGTATTGATTTATAGCAACTCCATTTCTTTGATCTGGGCTTAGTTCGAACATTAAATATTTAAAACTCATTCGACATTTACCCAAACTCAGTCAATAATAGAAGCAGTTTTTCATTGGTCTGCTCTGGTTTTATCCTCTACTTTGAATATTATAAATTTAAGACGCATTTAACAGACCCCAATCGATTTGTAGAATGTGTATTATCTTGATCTGGGATTATTCTCTAGTTTGGATACTGCATATTAAAAACTCATTCAAATTCGATTTATCAGATTAATCTCTTATAGATTTCAACGATTTTTTCTAGAATTAATCGACTTGATTAAAATTAAATTAATATGCCCCAATAAATGATCAAAACTCAACCAACCAACTCATAATGAAACTCAACTTAGATTCGCGTTGTTTTAACAGTTTTTTGTGATCTATTTATAAATATTATATTTTTGAATAAAATGTGGATTTTTTTTCTTTTGCTTAAGGTACAAACTTTATATTATATTTACTTAATAGACATAGTTAAGCAAGCAGAGCAGATCTAATTTAATAAACAACTTCAGGACTAATTCTCTGTTGTATCTTCAACCGTTTAAATAAAATGTTGACTTCTTGATTCCAAGCAGGAATATATTATATTAAGAAATATACAATTTTAAAAATGATCAATTTAAATTTTAATAAATTTGCAAAAAAAAGAATAGAGAAATATATATTTACCTATATACTATAGTAATATCATTTTACAAGCATTAAGAAATCAGTTTAGATGGGCAAAATTGGAAAAATCCAATTGTAAATTACATACATGATGTATGCGTGTTTACATACATGTATATGTGTATATATATATATATGTACGTATGTACATATTTGTGCATATTATGTATGCATACATAAACATTTTGTATTTATGCCATGTTTGCAGTTGGCTTGTACTCCATGGATTGGAAGTGCATACAAATAGACCTGGACTTGGACAGCCAGCCAGAGATAGACAGACAGATTGACATTTGTATGTACACAAGATGTATGTATGTAAGCATATATATATATATGTATATATGTATGTGTATGTGTGTGAAGCATTTTGGCTTCGACTTGGAAGTTTCGCTGCAGCTTTGGGCATTTCATTCAAAGTAAATATTTACATGTGAGTGTGTATGTGTGAGTGTGTGTCTGTGTGTGTGTGTGTGTATGCCTTGCAGTCGCTGCTTATGCATTGTAAGTATGTATGTGTGTACTCACATGTATGTGGCGTCGTTGGGATACCTAAAATGCACAGAGAATCCATATCAGCACGCCACAACAACAACAACAATAACAAGAATAACATTTGTGCCCTGGCAAACGTATGAAAGTTCATGCACACACACACACACACACAGAGGGAGACATATGCACACACACACACATGCACACATGCACAGAGTTGCCATATAAAGGCAAACACAAACGTGCGGCGAGACCAGGCCAGGCCAGGCCGGGCCAGGCCAGGCCAGTCAGCCCAGGCCGAGGCGGCAGCGTCGAGCCAGACAGTCTGTCGCCACAAAAATCGACACACAGCAACAACAACAACAACAACAGCAGCAGCAACAGCGACAAGAGCACAAGCCGAAAAACAAGGGCATCGCTGCGGGTCGGTGCGGTGCAGGGGGAGAGACAGAAAGAGAGAAAGAGCGAGAGAGAGAGAGACTGTGCACAGATGGAGAGTGCGGGTGCGAATGCGAGTGCGAGAGGTAATGGGCAATGGCGTTGGCGATGGCGATGACGATGACGTTGACGTTGGCGTTGTATTTCCAAGTCGTTTGCGTCGCTGTTCGCGTCGCAGTTGGCAGAGTGCGCTGCGCTTCTCGTCGTATATCTTGTTGAGAAATCGCTTTCAAGCAGAAGCCGGAGCAGAATCAGAAGCAAAAGCAAAGCGCGAGGCCAAAGCAAAAGCCAAAGCAAAAGCCAAAAGAAAAGCCAAAGCAAAAACAAAAGCAAAAGCAAAGCAAAGCAAAAGCGAAGCAGAATTCCATTTAGATTATATTCTTTACTTTGTTGTTGTTGTTGCTGTTGTTGTTGTTGTTGTTGGCGCTGGCAACGTGTTGTGCGGCAGCTTGGTAGGTGTTACAATACATAATGAATACACACACATCACACACACACACACTCACACACACATCACACACACACACAGACACACACACTGGCATACATATATATGCATACTCAGGCACACATGTGGATGCGGGACAGTGCTGCGGACACCGACAACAACAGCAACAGCAACAACAACAACAACGACAGCGACTTGCATTGCCAGACCATTCGGCGCGCACAGCCGTCACATAACGTCATCGCCAGCCAGGAATGGGGGAGTGGGGGGCTAGGTAGCAGCAACAACAGTGGCGTACCCAATGGGGGGCAGTGCGATCTATATACACACCCACACACACACACACACACACACACACACATTGCTGTTGTATTCAAATGCATTCAAATCACGAGTGCAACGCAACAAAACATTTCTAAATGAATTGCTTCACCCAGGTTTTGCCTCAAATCATGTTTGCTGCTCCTATTTTGCCCCATCTTATTTTGAAAACCCAGCAACAATCTCCGATCCCATCCATAAAGCACATGCTATACTCTTGATCGGCAATCAGATAAGCTTTCTTTTATTTGATCGATAATATCGATATAAATCGATAACAATAAAAGCACAAATTTAATGCCATATGTTGCCTTCAAACTGGCATAAGTTGAGTTATGGCTAAAAATGTATTCTCCCATTGAATGCTCTGGCATATGGGATTGCCAAATTTGATAATATTACAATTAGTGTTTTAAACGATTTTAAATGCATATGTAACAGCTGGGTGCAGGGTATCTGCTAGTCGAGTTGTGTTGAAATACCTCAACCATTGTCAAAAACTGACACAAATTTATTAAGCTCAAAGTGTCGAAGACGAAGACTTGATTGATACGATGACTAACGAGTTTATTAAACATATTTTTCAACAAAATCAAATTAAATAAATCAAAAATCGCTTTCGAAACCTTGGCGAACAAATTGTGATTTGATTAAAATTTAATTTTTGATTGTTTTATGCTGTATTCAAATGCAATGGCTAATTTGAACTTCCGCGAAAGCGCAAACAATATGTAACAGCGACAAAGCCCCCCTTTTCGGGACGCCCTTGGCAAAAACTGGGCCTGCTTGTTTTGGGTTGACGACGCGCTGCGACTCGAGTACGAATTTTATCGCCCACGATTTGTGTTGTTGTTGTTTGTTTGTTTGTTTGTTTGTTTCTGATACCCTACCCTGGCCACTAATACACAAACAGCAACTGGCATTCGCACACACACACACGCACACACACACATGCATATATGCATATGTATTGCACATGGGCCACTTGAGTGCAGGAACAGCAACTGGAGGGGTAGCTGTGAGGGAGTTGGGTGGGAGGGGGCTGTGAGGTAGGAGGTGGGAGGTAGGAGGGGGTTCCCATGCTGTCGCCATTGCCATAGTTCACTTTCAAATAGCTAGCTAACTAACGTTCCAGATGCGTGGCTGTTTGCTCACACACACACACACACACACACACATTTGAGTGTCACCTCCCCACTCCTCCTCCCTACACTGCCCACCACCTCCAGACAGACAGTGTTGTGTCCAAGTTTTAAATCGAATCCCTAGCCACATGCATTCTTTCAACTGCCTATTGATGTGGCACATACATATATAAACTAGCAGATACGATTTACTATATACTATTTACTATATACGATTACTATTTTTATATTTTATTTATTTATCTTTTCAGCATAGACAAAAGGCCAGCAAAGCGCCTAATCAACGCTGGAGGCAAATCTGATGGACAGCTTAAATCAAAGCTATATTGAACCCAACCAAGTACTATTTGTGAGAATTTTGTTTTGCTTTCTTCTTCCTTGTCATCAACTAAACTAAATTTAATAATAAATACATTCAATTTGGACAAAGGTCAACAGAAGCCTGAAACCTTAAAAAGTGAAATAAACTAAATATAATCGTTGACAGAATTGGGAATATATATATATAAATCATAAACATTATATTTCTTATTTAATTTATATATTGATCGGAGATATTTTGATGCAGTTGCATATTTAGAATTCTTTTTCTTATTTTATCGAATTGTTTTGGCGAAGAAATTGGTTGTTTTTCCAGCATGCAGATCAGAATCTCATCCTTTGCCAAGTGTAATCGGCAATGGCATAAGCGGTCCTCCTTCACAATGCACACCGCCTCCAGGCCGAGAGCCTCCTCCCACGCTGACCAACACTGCATCAGACTGGAGCTGCTCCGTCCTCCATTGTTGAATGTGAGTTTCTGCTTGGTCAGCCTGGTCTTGGAGACGTCGTTGTCAATGCCAACGCCAATGACCAACTGCATCGATCCAGTTGCCTGGAAATGGGGCAATCCTCCGCGCCGGGCGCATTGAGCAAGCAGCGCGCATTGCAGAATTGCTCCCAGATGTCCCCGTTCTGTGTAATTTGGACTGCATCGTTTTCCAATTGGCAAAAGATCCAATAAAACAGAGCAAACTGCAGTTGATGGCATATATATTAATTTACTTAATAAATTATAATGCATATTTCTTATATATTAAACTGAACAATTCTATATAGGAAATAATCTATGATTCACATGCAACATGTGCAACAGCAGGCAGTTAATTTTAATTGTGCTCTAAACGAATTTTCAATCATTTTCATCTGTGTTTGCAAACAATGTTTATGATTTACTATATTTGCAGTCAAAGGCGAGCATGTATTTTATATTTATTATATTATTAGAGGTAATTTCAAGTAAAATGTTTCAGGGTACTTCCCCAGACAACAACTAACTACTTTGTTTAATCTATAATCATCTGTTTTACAGAATGATTGAATGAACTTCTTCTCGAACTTGCCCAAATACTTTGTATTTAACTAACACGTAACTCTATACTTTAGCCAAGATATATGACAATTTGGATTTGAAATTTAGCTTCAGTTCCGCCCCCATTTGTAGTGATGAAATCGTAAAGGGCTGAAAACCCCCAAAACAAAATGGAATCATTCTGCGAAGTATTTGGTATTTTTTTGTATTTCCCCAAATACTTTGCTTTGACGAATATCTTACTATAATATATCTACATTTTGAAACTATATTCGTAACTGAAAAGTTACAATTTATCGAAGTAAATATATTTCTGGTACTTAAACCTCAGTTCCACATTGTATGCATATCATTTATTGTGAGTTATTTTTTTGTGTATATCATTTGTACAGGATTTTATAATTATCTATTGGCTATTATCTATTGTCGTGAAACAGTCTAAATATAAAGTATATTTGTTAGGCGTAGAATATCACCAAGTTTTACAACACTGTCTTTTCAAAGTGAGCAATTACTGAATTGAAATTACAATGTATTTTTGAAGTTTGTATTTAGGTGTTTCCTGCTTTGAAGAAGCCCCGACCTGAGAGCCAGTAAAGCCGCAAGGAACTGGCCGTCACAGCTCTGATTAAAATGCGGTTAACCCTTTCAGGATAGCGTATACGACAAACGATGAAAAAAAGTCGAGTCGAGTCGGTTCGAGTCGAGTCGGTTCGAGTCGAGTCGAGTCGAGTCGCTCGGAATTGGAATCGGAATCGGGTCGCCCTCTCGGACAGCAGTCACAGTCAACTGTACTAAAGATAGAAGTGAGCATGAACACGTTCTCACTTACACACACACACACACACACACACACAGCAGGCGAGCAAACATACAGGAAACGTGGACGCCAAAAAAACAAAAAAAAAAGAAACTGAAAAGAAGAAAAAAAAAACACAAGAGAGAAAGAAAAGGGACGGGCGTGCGGCAAAGGAGCGGGGCGGAGGACGCGGCATAAGTGCATCATGATGTGGTCTGAAACCCAATACTGTTGCCTTGCTGCGAATATTAAAATACCCACTTAAGACCAACAGCAACAACAACAACAACAACAGCAGCAGCAGCAGCAGCAACAATGGTAAGTAGTACCCTTAAAAAACATACACACACGCAACACACACAACACACACCACACACACACACATGCACACACAGCACTTGCAGCTCGATGGGCAGCAGACCAATCGGATTGATCAACTGCAGCCAGGAGGCATCAAGGCATTGGCGCCCTTAGCCAGTGTTGCCACCTTTCGGTTGGTAAGACAAAGCCAGTTTTACGCCACAAATAAGCTTAACAGGCAAGAAGAAGATTTCATGTCCTCGAATTGTAAACTGCCAAGTTTCACTACAGATTCGAAAAAACCAACACGCATAACAGTTAAGTTTGGTTCGGTTATTTAGTTATACTAAAAAGTAGTCCATACAAGAACTCTCGAACTCTCGATCGATTTTTCCTATGGGTGCTATATAGTTCAGTAGTTCGTATATATATCTACTTTATGGCTTATTTAACTTGAAAACAACATCATAATACCCTCTGCAAGCATATAATTAGTAATTTATATTGCACTTTCCCCTTTTGTTTAAATGTTTTGTTTTACATTTATTCAACCAGTTTAAGTATTATTTGTCTTACGTACTTCTACGATACGCTAATACTGATATATGGACGTAATATTACTTATCAAACTGTTCAGGGTTATTAAATTATATAGTTATAGTTGTGTGTATAAGATAAAAGCTAGCAACAAATTCGACAATTTCAAATCTCGCGCCAGTGTGTACACACCAGCACATACGCAGGGCCAAATGAGTAAGCTTGAACGCAAAATTGAGCAAGAAAGCGCAGCCACATGTTATATCGATAACAATCGTCTGCATGTTTTCTATTTAGTATCGATAAGTTGCCAATTTTCCACACAGTGTCGTCGATGTTAGTGTGTGCGTGTGTGTGTGTGAACGAGTTGATTTACTTTGAAATACTCAACCAAACACAAAATGTCAACAATATAAATTATTTTTTGTTGCATTTTGCCATAGACAGGTGCTAAACGAGTGCAGTAGGCAGCAGCAGCAATAATAACAACCAACAGTAATAACAATAACAATAGCAGGGCAGCTGCTGCTAGAAGGAATTATACAAAACAACAACAAAGGCAACAACACGCACAACACACACACACACACACATTTGCAGAAGACAGGCGGAAAAACAAATACAAACAAAGGCAGCTTTTCCAGAAATTGGGTCGCGTTCGTTTTTTTTTTGGTGGATTTCTTGTTATGACAACTTTGAATAAATGTTTCGGTTAGTTGCGAGTCAAATTAATGCAAATTGAATTGATATTAATATTTATGAAATTAATTTACATTTTACACAACTTATATTTGCAGCCTGAGACGCAGGTGGACACAGTAGACACCTTTTCCCCCTCCCACCCCGCAGCAGAACGGCAGCAATGAGCGTCGTTGGCAAGCAATTGAATCCGGTGCAATCGTCCTCAGCCACCTCCAGCGCCTCCTCATCCACAACCGTATCTGGTGCAGCGGGCAGCAGCAGTAGCGAATCGAGCAATGCAGTTGCAGCTGGGGCAAGTGTCGCCGCCGGCGGCGATGGGAAGCGTGGCAAGGAGGAATCGAATGTGACGCCGGAGGATGTGCTGCATCTGACGAAGATAACCGATGATTATCTCTGCTCGGCGAACGCCAATGTGTTCGAAATTGACTTTACACGGTTCAAGATACGCGACCTGGAGAGCGGTGCCGTCCTCTTTGAGATTGCCAAGCCGCCCAGCGAGCAGTATCCCGATGGGCTATCCATCGAGGAGACCATGCTGGCCGCTGCCGAGGATCTGTCGCTCGATGACACTGCCGATCCCAATGCCGGACGCTATGTCCGCTATCAGTTCACCCCAGCGTTTCTCAATCTCAAGACAGTGGGCGCCACGTAAGCTGATTCGCAAATTAACACATAACACACAGCACTCTCTCGCTAAATAGTCTTGTCCATCAATCAGAATCATTAATTTCCCAAATTCTTATTTTTGAGATTTTTGTTTTGCAGTTGTACAATTTTGTTAAAAATCAAATCAAATCAAAATTCTTTTATTTTTTTTAGATAAACTTTAGTCTTATTTTCTCTGTTTATATCAATGTTTTTTTCATTTTTAAGTATTCAATTTTCACAAACGAAATTCAACAACAAAGCCTGACAAATTTCGAGAGTCCTCGCTGTACTATAATATGATCTGTACTATTGTTTATCAAACTAATCCCTGTCCTTTATCTGCTGTCGCCAACAGGGTGGAGTTCACTGTGGGCAGCCAGCCAGTGAACAATTTTCGCATGATTGAGCGTCACTTTTTCCGCGATCGCTTGCTAAAAACATTCGATTTTGAGTTCGGATATTGCATTCCATATTCCAAGAATACGTGCGAGCACATTTACGAGTTTCCTAATCTTCCACCAGACCTGGGTAAGTGTCCAAACAAACCCCCATCACAAAGAAAAGAAAATGGCAAGATTTGCAGTTGCCAATTGCAGGTCAAGGACATTGAGCAAATGCAAATTTAGGCAGACACTTGCATAAGTGCGTACAGTGTGCACTCTAGTTGATGAACCGCCATTTGATAATTGTGTTGAATAAGTTTATATAGTTTATATATGATGTATGTCAATAGTTGTGCTGTAAACAGAAGTTTTTAATAACTTTATTTTTGGATAGCATTTGAATATATATACATATATATATATATATATATATATATATATATAAATATTTCAAATAGTATTAAAAACTATGATAGAATTGTGGATGAGGTTTAATAGATTTTAAAAATGTTGAAAATGGTGAATTTCTTGAAACAAATTAAACAAAAAACGATTCAAAATAAAGTTCGAGCAAAACAGAGAGAGAGAGAGAGTTAAATAAAAGGGTACATCATAAAGAATACACACTGTACTAAACTAGGTCACAGCTTATTAATTTCGTTTGTTTCATCCTCGCCTTGCAGTTGCTGAAATGATATCGAGTCCCTTTGAGACGCGCTCGGACAGCTTTTACTTTGTGGAAAATCGACTCGTCATGCACAATAAGGCGGACTACGCCTACGACGGCGGGATAATTGTCTAATCGTCTAACGGAGATGAGAGCTAAAGAATTGATGCAGCTGTTAACTAAATCTAAAACCTAGAACAAACAACTAAACTAACAAAACTACATTGCTGACTCACTCATACACACACACACACACACACAACACGAAAACCAAAGCAAGCCACAAATTTATGAAAACTAAAAGAAAACAAAAACAAAAACAAAAATGAAAATGAAGGAAAAAAACCATTTTAGCCTTAGCACAATGTTTTACCCACCATTCCTGTTTAATGTATTTATTATAATAAACACACATACACCTCCATAAGCATACACACACACACACACACACACGCACGCAAACTGTGTTCATTTATAAGAAGTGTTAAACAAAAACAAAACAAAAATGGAATATTTTATTTGAAAAATCTATTTAATTTGTAAGTTCAATGTGATTTCCCCTTCTGCATCCCAAATACTCCCCCCAAAACCTTATTTGTATTTTATTTATTATGTTGTACTTTAAGCCAGCCACATACATATTATACACATATATATACATACATATATATATATATATATACGATCATGCAGCGTTTTTGTATGCCGCATGCTGAATTTATTTAAGTAACGTTTTTTATGTATTACCTTTTTATTGTTTGTTTGTTAGTTTCGTCTTTTTGTGTATGTATGTGTTAAGATATTTTAAAAGCCGTCTTTACTATATAAATTCCAAACATGAGAACGAGAATTAAATTTACATTTGAAATGTATTTGACTTTATTATTTGGTATTGCAATTTGTTCAACTGATTTATTTACACACATAATTAATATGCCATCTCGCTCTGATTTGTGAACGCATGAGAATTGTGGCTATTAAAACAAGATTGGCTGGCGAAGCGTTTTAGGGCTTATTTAAAAACTCCGCCACGATCTGTATAAACTTATGCGGCTCCTCCAGATGCACCAAGTGACCCGTCTCCAGCCAATGCTGCGTGGCATTCGGAAAGAATTTCAGTATCTGAGGCCAATCGTTGGGACTAAAAAAAAAGAGGAGAATGAGACATGTACTATTGTTAAACATTTGTTAAACTAAAGATAACTACTCCATAAAGGTTGATTGGGTGCCACAAATGAAGGTTGTGGGACCCGTGAATGGCGGCAGGCTGGCTATATGCGATCCGTAGTCCGAAAAACCGTGCAGGCTTTTGAGCAGCACCTCCACATTGCAGGCCCAATAGAATCTGGAAGAGATGGCAAACTATTAATGCTTGGGTTTCATATGATGCGCCAGCGGCGGTTCAACATACTCGCCAGTGTCTGGTTTCTTTCGCAGATTGAGTAGGATGAAATCGACAGTGTCCCTGTCTACGGTTTTCAATAGCGCCTCTTTGGCAATCTGACGGCCCTTGGACTGGGCTACATTTGCGGGCAGGGAAATGTCCAGCATGGCATTAAATATGCCACTCATTTCATTGACGGTTCTGGGAATGGCTACGGGCGATACGTCCACAACAATCAAGCGTTCGCAGATTTCCGGCTGCAAGTGAAAGTAAACGTTAAATCATATTTATAGATGTTTAGGGGCACGTCAGGTTTAATACATGACTCAAGGCAAAGTGCATGGCGGCTCGTCCGCCCATACTGTGGCCCATCAGGCTCGTCTTGGACAGCGACTTGGCCTGCGTAAACGCCAACAGATCCGCCGTCATGCCAAACGAGTTGTGTGTGGTGGTGTGAGGACTGTCGCCATGATTGCGCAAATCCACCGTATAAACCTAAAATACCATACATGTTCAATGGTTAAGTGGTTCCCGCATATGCACATCTGTTTTATAGGGGATTAACAGTTGCTTACGCGTCGATTGGTCTGTTTGGCTAGCGCTTTGCTTACGCTGCGCCAGTTCTGCTTGGACCCAAACAGGCCGTGCATTGTGATAAGGGGCTGACGTGTTGCGTCTGGTGTCGGGCCATCAAATTGCTCGTGGGCCATGGCAATAGCTGGGACATGTTCGGCATAGTGGCGTCGCTGCTGCAAGGCCACGCATCCAAGGCATTGGGTAGCAGGATGTGTGCTGACCAGGCATTTGGTGGCATTGAGTTTGGCAGCGTGAACCGCTTGAAGACAACGTAACGCTCCGTTCAACAGCTGCATTTTGCTAGAGTTGCACAAACACTTATCGATGGTGAGAGCCGTTAGATTTTGTAAGGTGCATAACCAAAACGGGCCGATAGTGGTGGTATTCGAAAAATAAAATATTATTTAATTTTCGTTGACATAACTTTTAATAAGGAAAATCATGTTGTGACAAGCGTTTGTATATATGTTCAATTTCTGTTAGCTAATATAACCATTAAGTAATCAATCGATAGATTGCTGCTGCATGTAGTGCTGCCAATTATCGACTGCAAAAATCGATCAGAAAAAAGGCAAAAAAAAAAAAAAAAAACGCAGGTGGAATTGATAAAAAACGAGCTAAATTTTAAAATAAAGTTCTGGCTGTTTGGGATGGCAATATATACTATATTAATAATTTTATTATCAAAAATATAAAGTCCATCATACTCTGTTATTTAAGTCATATGACATTGTTGCTTAATTAATTTGCATGCATGTTTGTATTGGACCTGGAATAGACTGTATTGACCATCGTCAAGTACAGTACCCAAATTTACAATGAAATACAATGTACTGCCAAAAATTTCTAATTTTTCGAGCAGTAAAACTATATAAATTTGCTCATTTTTTTCGGCTTAATCAAATTAAAAGATAACCGATCTGTCCGATAAAATGTGAAAACGGCCACACTGGCTGAGTCAAGCATGCGAAAGAGCAATTGTGTTATCGATATCAGTGTCAGGCAAGAACGCTCATCGCTAATATTTTCTGTAGTTCGGGTGGCTTCATTGGTGACAAAAGATTTTCAACTAAGAAAGCCCATTAAATTAAATTAAAATACAATAAGGAACAGGTAAAAGCATCAAAAAAGCGGCAGGAACATTGTAAATACAAGCTGCGGACTCAACGGCGATAGCAAACCAACACAAAACCCGTGGGCCACGCAGGGAAAGCAACTTAATTTGACGAACGCAATTCGTTTGACGGCGGCACTCACAAACACACATTCACAAACACAAACACACACACTCAAACACACACACACTCAACCTCACACATACAACTTTAACACGAAGCCGGAGCCTGCTGATAAAATTTGTGTGTGGCCTGGTGAGGGAGTGAGAGAGACAGAGAGGGAGAGGAACTGGACGTTGACTGACGCCTGCAGCTGCAGCGGCAACTGGCTTTTAGGTGAGCAACAACAATAAACTGTGCAAATTGCATTACTATAACCAACAATTGATATATATATATTTTCAAGTATTCTATTTTTCCCCTCCAACACTACGTAAGTGAAAAAGTGTTTTACACACATCAAAAAGTAATAAAAATAAATCAAATCAATAACAATAATCAAAAATCGAAAGACCAACAACAAAAAGTATAAAGCTTTAAATCGTATTTGACTCTGTGATAAAAAAAAAGTTGAAAGTTGTGCTTGAAAGTCGAAAAGCTCCGTTTCTCACGTCTGTCTTGCGTTAAGAGTACAAAAAATTGCGATTCAGTTAAGTTCAGTTCATTTGCAATTGTTTAAAAAGTTTAAACAACAATTTTATCGGTCGCGAAAAGTGCGAAAAAAAAGTAACAAAAAAAAATACCTACAACACTTAAATCGTATATGAAATGTCGAATGTCGCTATCATATACAAGTAACCTGTGTGTGTTTGTGTGTGTGTGTGTGCGTATTATATATATGTATGAATATATATATATATATATATATATATGCACATATACATGCGCTTGTGTGCGAGTGTGTGTGTGTGTTTGTGTCTTGCATTCATTTGTAACCTCGAGACATGAGCAAACATAGTAAAATTCTTGTAAAATTCAAATATGTAATTGTTATTCATTGAAATTGCTCTCTCTCTCTCTCTCTCTTTCTCGCTATCTCTCTCTCACTGTTGTCTTTCGTTCGCGTAAAGTCGAAAAATCGAAAAAGTCGAAAAATCGAAAAAGTCGAGTTTTAAAGTAAACAGTCAATTAATAGTTTTCGACAAAAACACACACATAATAACTATATAATAAAAAAAAAGCCTAAACAATTAAAAGTACAATGATGAAGGTAAGAATTCAACAAAGTGAACAGAAAACTTTACGTGAAAGAAATTTTCTTTCCAAAAAAAAAAAACCAAAAAATATATCTAAAAAGAAATTAAAAAAAAACAAAAACAATTAAAAGAAACATTCACAGTCGACTGTCGTAAACCCACAAAAAAATATATAGAAATAAGTAAAAACAAAAGAAAAGAAAATGAAAGAAAATAGAACATTTTATTTATGTATAAGTGCCTTGCCCCTGAATTGGTTTAATTCTCAATTGAATTTCGTTTTGCCTACATTTCACAAGTTATTGAGAGAGTCTTGAATCACACATTCTGTATTGGCCATTTGACAATTCAATTCATTTCTGCCATGTTCCAATTGATCTTAACTTGTCTCTTTAATTTGTTGGATTAGTTTAATTGCTTTTATTTACTAAAATTATTTATTTTATTTTTATAAAAGGAGTCAATCTTTCGCCGTTCCTTCTGAATTTTATTTACTTTTATATTTATTAAATCACCAAACTCGATAAACCCTTGTAAAGATCTATGTCTGTTGCCAGTCTTCTTTTCATTCTCTTTCTATCTCTATCGCTATCTCCCTCGCTCTCTCCCTCTCTCTCTCTCTGTCTCTGTCTCTGTCAGCGCTACCCAACTGTGTTTACAAGAGATTCAAAACAAACCCAGAAATTCGGTGCGCCGAAGATGAGTTTCCCTAGGCTGCATAAATAGCATAAAAAACGAAGAAACGAGCGATAAAAAAAGGACAAATCTATGTTCTATATATGATTTGAACTGCATTTGAATTGATTCACCGACTCCGAAGCTAATCTTTGGCGTCTCCCGCAGAAAATCGAGGCGAGAACGAGCAGCACGAGCTTGAGGGGCATACATAGCGCATGGGCGTCAGCATGGAGTTGGAGGATTCACGCAGCACGTTCCGATCGACGTCTGAATCGCCGTCAAATTCGTGTGCAACAACGCCCATCAAGGAAACGGCCGGCGATGATGATGAAACGATGAAAAGTGCACAAGCCTCCGGCGGACGCAACTCAGCGGCCAGCTCACGTTCCAGTCACAGCGATCGCTCCAAGACAAAAAAGAAAAGCTCCAGCAGCAGTGACAGCAGCAGCAGCGGCGGCGGTTCCAGTAGCAGCAGCAGCAGCAGCAGCGGCTCAGATAGCAGCAGCTCAAGCGAAGATGACGATGATGACGATTCAAGAAAACCACCATCTTCAGCTGCAATGGCCGCTGCGGCAGCGGCAGCGGCAGCTGCTGCTGTTGCTGCTGGCAACGTTGCCGTTAAAGTTGATGCCGATGGTGATGGCAGTGGCAATGGCGATGGCGATGTTGATGCTGATGCCAATGTCGATGCCGATGTGGATGCCGCCGCCACGACGGAAACCGTGTCTTCCAAGAAATCACAGTCGAGCTCGGTGCGGAGTCGAAGCAACAGTCGAGAGCCGATATACAATCAGGCGGCAGTTGATCTAAACATCAGCCACGAGGATCTCAGTGATGTGAGCGACATTGATATGGAGAGGCAGGCCCAGTCGAAAAACTCCAACTCCAACAGCGCCAAAGCAAATCAGGATGAGGAGGAGGAGGGCGCCATTTCCGATGACTCGCTGCCGGCTGTGCGCGATTCGCCGACACTCAACGGCAAATCACGCATTGAGAAGCAATCAACAGAAAATTCAAAGGACTCCAAGGTGAAAAATCTATATAAATATATATGTTATATGTTACAGATAAATATGGAAACAGGGCGACAAAGTTTATATTATATTTGATTACTATTTCATATATTAATTGTTCGATTCCACTGTACGATTGCAGGACTCGGATGGCACAAATGGCTTGGATGATTTGGTTAAGCCACCGCATGATGACGACGCGCTTGACTTTGAGGCAGAGGAGGGTGAATGTCCAGAGCTCGCCGGCAAGTCGGAGGCGGATGCGGAGACGGATGCGGGCGCCAATTCATCGGCCACAGCAGCGAATGGTGGCAATGAACTAAACAAAAATGCTGCCAGCCAGTCACAGTCATCGCCGGCAAAAGCTAATGACCATGATGATGTTGTCGTGGTGGTCGACGACGATGGCGATGGCGCGGTTGCCGGCGGTGCGGAGTGTGCCAAAAAGAAGAAAAAGGACGAGGAACTGGAGGAGGGCGAGGTGTCCGACGAGGATGAGAAGCGACCCGAGGAGACAGAACCGAAGCCCGTCTGCCGCTTCTATACGCGCGGCCAGTGTACCTGGGGCATGAGCTGTCGATTCCTGCACCCGGGCGTCACCGACAAGGGCAACTACACAATGTTCGAGAGCCTGGTGCGCTCGGTGCCAATGCAAAGCGGTAGCGCCGGCGGCGTCGGCGGTGCCAGCAGCTCATCGCGTGCCCCCAGCAGCAGTGCCTACAACAGTCACATGGCCGGCGTGACGGCGGCCGGCGGTGACTATCATGACTATCGTACCGAGCGGCCAGCAGCGTTGCATCATCGAGCTGCCGGTGGACTGCATCATGCCGGTGGCATCTATGCGGGGGTCGGTGGCGCCACCGGGCATCATGATGCGCGCAGCGGTCTGCTAATGTCCGAGGTGCCGGTGGTAGTGGAGAATGCGTGGGAACGTGGCCTGCGCACCGCCAAGGAGATGATGCGCAAGGCGAACAAGCGCAAGGAGCAGGACATGGACTTTGAGGATAAGAAAATGAATCTGACCCTCTCGCCCGATGAGCTCGAAAAGGATCCATATTATCTCAAGGAGCGCGGCAATTCGCCGAGCGTTGCCCGCGAATTGCCGCCCAACAATCCCATCAGCCATGGCAATCCGCGCGCCCTCCTGCCCCCCGTCTACTCGATGTATGGCCAGCCGCCCGATCGCTATCGTGCCCCATATATGCCGCCCGTGCCGTACGAGGTTGTCGACGTCTACGGGCGGATGGCGCGATATCGCGAATTGCCGCCACATCGGATGCCACAATACGAGGACGATCGTCGGCTGCGACCCGCACGCGAGGTAATCGTGCAGCGCGTCGAGGCAGTTGCACGCGGCGATGAGTGGAGCGATCCATGGATGCGTTCCAAATCGATTGGACGCGGTCCCTCATACGATCGGGATGATCGACGGCGCCCACGTCGCCGCAGCTACAGCAGCAACTCATCCTATTCCAGCTCGAACAGCTCACAGAGCGATTCCAGCTCCGATTCGTCGCGCTCCAGCAGCGCATCGGAACAGAAGCGTCGCTACTCGCACAAGCTCATGTCCGGAGCAGCATCGCGACGCCATGCGGCCGGACGTGCTCGCTCGCCCAGCCAAATACCTCGACGTCCCAGACGTTCGTCAAGTAAGTCAATTGTCGATTAATGTCCAGTCTTAAGTCACCAATCTGCAGAGGGTATTCTGTGACAACGAGGAAGAGTCCTCAAAGCACATCCTAGCAGTTTGTGTCGCCTGAACGAGGGAACTATGTAGCATGTTCTAAGCTCAGAAGACAACCCAACAAAGATTCTTGCATTCGTGCAGGAGCTGGGGTTGTTCATAGCTTTAGGCTAAGAGGGGGGACTCGGTGCATATATCCCAGCAATAATAATAAATAGAAATAGCTGTTCCTTTTTACCTTGTCACGATTAACAATTAACGCATTCTCCATTTTGCAGAGGGCAGCGCATCGTCTGCGTATAAGCGTTCCGCACTGGAGAAGCGCCTCGCAGTCGGTGGCACACACAGTCCTGCGTCGAAGCGCAAGAAACTCTCGCCGGCACCGAAAAAGTTTGACAAGATACGTCGTCGTGGCAGCTCCAGCTCATCGGATTCAGGTACTATTTCATATACTACTCCATCCTCTACTGCAACTGATCTCTCTCTATCTCTATCTTGCCACTCATTAGCTGATTCGTCAGGCACATCATATTCGGACTCGGATTCGGGCTCATCGTCGTCGGATAGTTCGTCGGGTTCGCGCGACACGCCACAGAAACGTGTGCGTGCCACAGACAAAGCTCTCAACGAGCGCAAACTAATCAAAAAACGTAAGTGCAAATTGCTACAGCTATCTAAGTAGATCCTCCAATTTATTCGTTTCTTTTCAGCTTCTGAACAATCGGCCAAGAAGCGATCACCCATTTCCATCGAGATTAAGAAACCGTCAAATATGGTGGGCGTATCGGCGCTAGCATCTCCGCCGGCCCATTCGCCCGCTTCCGATAAGGAGAAGGACAGTGCCAAGGATAAGGAGAAGGATAAGGATAAGGACAAGGATGGCAAGAAATCGAGACGGGAGGATCTGCTCAAGCAGCTGCGCGCCGTTGAGGATGCGATCGCAAAGAAACGCTCCAAATTAACCTGATAACATACGATCCACCCGAGTCCACCCACCATCCTCAATCGCAGCAACCGCACCGCTCCCGCTTCCCACTGGCAATGCCGAGCGCATCTCTCCAAAATGCCTATATGTTACTGTTGACCTGCCTGGCCTGGCGCACAGCAAAGTGTGACCGGGGCGCGTGCAACTGCAACTGCAACAGCAACAGCCGCAAGTGCAACAGCAACAGCAACTGCAACTGCAACTGCAACTGTAACTGCAACTGCAACAGCAACTGCATTAGCATTAGCTTAACATTAAGTATAAAGCATATATCATTCATATACGAATATCTTTGAGGTCTTGGTCTGACCGCGCACATTCTTCGCATTGCGTATCGATTTTGTGACGATTTTCCTTTAACTTAAACAAATAAATCAAACAATTCAAAGCATTTAGTTTTAACAAGTTCTTCATCCACACACATACACACACACACACACACACTTACATTTACTACAATTTACTTTTTTTTTTGCGTCTGGCTCCAGCAACCTCCTCCGCCATTGATTCTACAATGACTACCTTTAACAATTGTATAAATAAAAAACTCGCTTGATTGCTGAAACAGTTGATTTTCAATTTTTGTAAATTATTTTTTGGATTTTCAGCGAAATACAGTTAGCTAAGCTTTGGTTCCACAAGTATATTATATATTTATCAGTAATTACAATTTCTGCACATCCTATTTAACCATCAACAATTGTAATATACTATTTTTTAATTATTATGATTTCTACTTACAAATTTCAGAGGGCTATCGAAACATCCACATTCGAAAAGAAAATATAATAAAAAAGAAAAACTGTTATCAACAAATGAAAAACAATTGAAAATTCTTATTAATCGTTGATCGAATTCGCTCTTAACAAAGTGCAAAAGGTTTCCAATTAGAAGATATTTTATGTGCATTTCTTGTGAGCATTGTTTCTTCTGCTGTTGACAGCCATCTAGCGGAGACCGCTGCAAGCCCATTGTCCAAGGGGATTAGCAGCGCCATCTGTAGCTCAAATGAAACCCAACAAGATTCTGATACGGATGCTAATTTTTAATAACTTGTACTGGAAATCACACTCGTAACGAACTCAAAAAATTAATAAATGAATAATTAAATAAATAAATGTAATATACAAATATTTCAATAAAAGAGTTAGAAAATATTTCTCAATATTTTCATTTATTTTGCAAGTCTTTTGTGTTTAAAAGTAATTTTTTGAGCTTCTGTTTTTGTCTTGGTTTTTTTCTACCAATTTCATGCGACAGCTGCCTGAAATTACAAAAGGCTGTGCCACAAAGTGTTATTACAGTGTGTGTCTGTGTGTGCGTGTGTGTGCGTGTGTGTGCGTGTGTGTGTGTGTGTGTGCTAGTATGCAATGTATGAAAGTGTGTGCATGTAATACGTTGTAATTTTACACCGATGCGTGGGTGTGTGTGCGTGTGTGTGTGTGTGAGTGTGTGTGTGAATAAAACCTATTTAGATGACGAATCACAGAAATTTGGGCTCATCAATGTTTGTTCTCGAATCACAACTCTACTTTGCCGTGCTGCGACCTATAGCCCCAATTCGCATCACCATCAAGCCATTCCCCAATACCGCACATCACCACCCAACCACCCCCCACCCCAGTTGCGTCAGCATCGCCAAACGTCGCGACGTCAACTCCGACGCCATCGACACGTTCACAGCGCAACTGACTCCGACTCCGACTCCAACTCAGACTCAGACTGTGACTTTGACTTTGACTATATTACTTTACACAATTTGTATTTTTGTTCTTCTCTGCATAGCCTTTGCTGGGCATATCAGCTTTTTGTAGCAAAATGTTCAATAAGTGGCCTGATTTTTATATATACTTTTTATTATGATTATTTTCAATTGACTTGCCATAAGAATTCTTAGAAAAAAGATTAGATTTGGTGAATGAGTCAGCGATATTTGTAGATCGCCTGACATTTGTGCAAACAGTAATCAACACGGAATAATATATATTGTTTTTAATTGAATTGAATTTGATTTATTTATTGCTCTCAAGGGGCAAATCGATCAAAAGCTGATTTAGTTGGCCAAAATATAGAAATCTATCGTTATGGTCAGATGGTCAGTAGACAAGCTGGCAAAGGGTATTTGTAATTCGACGCTAGTTGCAATTGTTTTTAGTTAAACGTATATACATCTACATGTGGCTAAGTGTGTGTGTTTTGCGGGTGAGTAGAAAAAATTTGCAATTTATTGTTCCTTACTCGTCATCGTCTCTCATTTTTTGCAATCACAGCCGCAAAGCTGTCAGAACACATTGTCATCATCAGGCAGCCAGCGAGCGAACCAGTCAAGCAGCCAAACAGCCACCAATCCACCAGCATACCCACACACCCGGCACACCCGGCACCATCCAGCCACCCACCTGGTCACAGGCAACTGAAATTTGTATATGCCATGGCAGCATACATGTGTCCGTAATCGTTGCCCGTGCTCGAGCCTAGCCGGGGAAATAGTGTAATAAAGGACAGCTGAACTGTGCAACCCCCTTCCCCCTTCCCCTGCCCCCTTTCCCAATTCACACAACCTCTGAACCCCATCCCATCTCCACACTCCACAGCAATAGCAGGCAGGCATCTTGGCTGGATTAGCGAATTCCGTTGGCATTTTTTTTACGCACTCCAGCAGCAGGCAGGGGGAAAAAAATAAAAAGAAGAAGAAGAAAAAAGAACAGTGGTGGACACCTTGTCGCAGACGGGAGAAGGGTTTTTGGGGGTGTTGTGCCCAACATGTGCGACAGCAAAAACAATCACGAACAGATTTATCGCATTCATATTCAGCTTGATGCGATATGTGACCCGAAATTGGAGGCTGGGAGTAGCTTGGCAATGGCGCTGCGAACGGTCGAGTTACTTGGGCCAGCCCATTTTCCGGGCGCTGGTAAAGGCAAAAAGAAAAAAAAAAACAAAATGTGAAGAAAAAAAATTTTTAAAGAATCGTTTGCGTATGTGTGTCAAGACCGCAAAATGGGATTACATTACTCAAAGAAATGTATTTTGACAGAACTAATATTTTTGCACAGATCAGGGGCTGCCGCTGATGTCTACTCCTGCTCCTGTTCCAGCTACAGCTACAGCTACAGCTTGCGCTGGTTGCTGCTACTGGTCCTGTTCGTGGTCCAAATGCTGTGCACTGTTGCGGCATTTTTGGGTCGGGAGATTGCGGTTTCGGCCCTCAACGCATTCGCTGGAATGGGCCATATTTTGAGGGGTTGCGTTTGCGTTACAAGACTTTGACTAACTATGCTGCCTTAATCCTGGTGATGTTGGTTAAATTGGGTGGCAACCCTAAAGGGTTTCTTTTTTACCTCTTTTGTTAAGAAATCGAGCTGGTTGGCAAACACGCTATTGTATCACAGAAAATAGTTCGAACTAATAGTAGAGATCTTTAGTTAACAGTTCTTTTGCCTTTCATTGTGTTCATTTTGCAATAATATCTTTAAGCGTATGTTTTTATCATCTATATGTATTCATTACATTATTTTTACTACATTTTTCAGATGCTGATTTAATGAAAGCTCATCCAACATTTTGATATAAGATAGGAACGAGGAATTTAAAATAAATTTCTAAATCTTTACTATACTTATCTATTTTCAAGACAAAACTATGGCAATAAATTCGAAAATGAGCGCATGAAAAATATATTTTTATTAGTTGTCAGAGCTACGATATTTTCCAGTAAATCTCTAAGCATATTAGCATCTATAATCTAATTTAATTATTATTTTATTTGGAAACGTCGAAGATTGTCGACCGATATCAAATTTTCTAAGTTTTATTATGAATTTAATAATCCAATCAAAGCTATATGATGCAGTTGTCTAATCTTTATCATTTAGAAGCACAATAACAGGCATAATTGATAAGTTAGATAAGAAAGTTATGGCAGCTATATGATTTAATATTCTACCATCAATGATTTTTAGTGCAGATGTGAGAGGCATATTTAAGGGCATATTGAGTAAGTTTGGCTTAGATATTTTGATAAACAAAAAAGTTGCTTATACAAGAACTATATATACGATACTACATATGTGATATAGTGATTTGATGCGGCCCGTGTCGACTTGTGCATTACTTGCAGCAAAAAGAATTTCCTAAGCATGCTTCATCAGGCAGCTTTTGAATGTATGCCATGGCGTACGAAAGCTGCTCGGCATGGAACACACTGGTTAAAGTTGTTAGCCAGATTTGAAATAATCACTACCAACTATATATTGCAGTTAGCTCGTTGCTATGTGACCAAAGCTCTGACCAAAGCTATCAGTTATGCTTATGCCACGTTATCCTTTGCTGTGTGTGTGTGTGTGTGTCTCCGTGTCTCTCTCTCTGGGTGTGTGTGTGCAAGGCAGATCGAAATGGCAGCCAATTTCCGCGTCTTAACTTGATAAACGCGGTTTGCGAAAGGGTTTGGCGGGGATTTGTGGAATTGGGCGCTAGCTGTGGCGCCAGCACGTGGGGGATTGACTTTTGCATTGGCAGTATATAGATAGATAGATATACATATACATATGTATGTATGTGTGTGTGTGTGAATATACATATACATTTGGGCTTGGTATCTTGTGCGTCGCATAGCCAAGGAAACGATTTTGTCAGTCCACATTTTTTTATTTTTTCGTTTTTTTTTTGTGTATTTTATTATTTGCATTGCGACTGCGTATGGTCGGTCCAATGTCCTTGTGTCGTTGTGCAGGACTTTTGTGTTTCATTTTTGCCCAGCAGAAGGAAAGTTTGCTTTGATGCAATGTGTACAAAACGACATGAAGAGCAATAACAACGGCCAAGCAAAAGGACCAAAGCAAAAGAATGTCCTCGCTCGCGGCTCGACCCTCACGTACGAACTTTTGCCATAACAACAACTGTGGCCATTACGTTGCCAGAGCATGTGAAATACACACAGACACACACACACACATACACGTCTACATGTGTACATATGTTTGAATGAGGTGCCTGTTGGTCCTTTTGGTCCTTTTGGTCCATAGCTACCTTGCGAGACCAAACACGCAGCCAGCAAGCGCAAGAACTTCAACCCGAGCATGGTTGTAAGCCAAGCACACCCCACCAAAAAGAACACCAACGAACACCACCACTTTAAGCAACAACACCACCACCATCACCACCACCACGGCCACCATCACCAACGCCACCATTTGCCATCAAATGGCTTTCAATGGCAGACGCAGACTTTCCAACAACTTGGTCGCAACGACCGTCGACGACACTGACAAAGCGTCCAACGGTCCAATGGTCCAATCGTCCCATGTCCTTCCCTGGACTCGCAGTCCAGGGGACTCGTGGCCCCTGTCCGTCACCAGTACGGACAGCAATGGCGTTGTTCGTATTTGCTTTTGGTTCGCTTTTACGTTTGCGTGCTGCTTGCCCACCCACTTCGTCCACCTCCTTTTTTGTTTGGGCGTTTGGCTTGTGCACGGGGTGGATTTTTCGCCATTATTGTAACAATTTTGATCAATGGCCCTATTTGGTCCGGTGTCCGCTGTCCGCTGTCCGCGGGCCCAATATGTA